CCGCACGAGCTCAAGACTGACCAAGAAAAATGGACCGACGAGGACTTTGAGAAACATCAGCAGAATCGCAAGGCCACAAACCTGATGTACTACTCGCTTGGGCCTGAAGAGTATCACAAAGTCTCTGGGTGCAAAACTGCAAAAGAGATATGGGACAAACTCCAGGTAACTTACGAAGGCACTTCTCAATTTAAAATTTCCAGGATCAACATACTGAAACAGAGTTTGAAACATTTAAGATGAATGATGGGGAATAAATTAGGGAAATATCGGAGAGGTTCACCACTATAGTGAACAGTCTAGAAAACTTGGGAGTATAGTATGACAGTGGTGACTTAGTTAGGAAGATTCTATGGTGTCTACCTAAGAAATGGGATCCGAAAGTGACTGCAATAGAGGAGGCAAAGAATTTAGCTACAGCGGATGTCGATGAACTAATAGGGTCATTGGCCACTTATGAGGAGAAAATCAAAAGAGAAAGTGGAGAAGAACAGAAGAAAGAAAAAAGGGGGATAGCTTTTAAAGCACAAGCTTGCAAGGAAGAGTCGGACAAATACGATGATATGGATGATGACGAGCTGGCAATGCTCAGCAAGCATATAACACAGCTCATGAAGATGAGGAAGGACAGATGACGAGGAAACCTGGTAAATCAGCACAAGGAACGAGAGTTTGATAAAGAATCAGTTCCTGGAATGCTGAGTTCACATCGCCAAACGCAAAGGATTAAAAGGGACTATGTGCAAACTGAGAAAACTCCATCAGGTTGCTACAAATGCGGACGACATGGACACATCAAAGCCGATTGTCCTCTCTGGAGAAAAGAAAAGGCTATGCCAGCAACTTGGAGCTGCAGTGATGATGAAGATGATGATCATGATGAATGTCATCGAAGAAGAGAAGCTGGTTTAATGGCGATCGACGACTTGGAAATTGAAGTGCATAGTGGAATCTCCGAGGTAAGTAAACTGGACCTTTGTGAGTCGGATTACTATAGTGATGATGATCTTTTGACTAGCACCATTAGAAGTATTCAACAAGAGTTTGCTGTAGTAAAAATCAAATATAGTAAACTTAAAGAAGACTACAACTTAGCTAGAGATAACCTAACCTTGAAATTTGGAAGGGGAGGAAGCCTAACCTTGGTTATTTTCACCCGTTCGGGTGTAAGTGCTTTGTTCTAAACACTAAGGATAACCTAGGGAAGTTTGACTCTAAGTCCGACGAGGCAGTATTTCTTGGCTATTCTAATGTGAGTAGGGCTTTCAGGATTTTTAACAAGAGGACTCTCAAAGTAGAGGAGTCTATAAATGTGATCTTTGATGAGTCTGCCTGCGAGATCTCAGGAAAACTTAGAGGAAGATGATGATGTGACACGCCAGAACACAACACCTAACAATGGCCAAGTGTAACCAATGAAAGGGACTGCAGTATAGTGGCACAAGTAATAAATATCGAATCCACGGGTCTCTAGAGTTACTATTACTCAGCTTCAGTTCATTATCTAGCAAACTAGATTAAGGATTGATTTATAAACTACTCTACTGACTATTCTACTAATTACAAGTTGGGAACTCACTTAGGTATGATTCAACCTAGCTCCTCAATTAGGTCCAAGTTGCAATTACCTTTGGTTGATCTACTGTTGATTAGACTGCGGAAGATCCTAAATTAGCTTGGAATCTCTTAAGCTCACCAAGCCCTCTCAGACAGAATACCTGGCAGGCGACTAGCCTTCACCGGGATAGACTGCTAAGGCGATTCACACAGATCTCCACTACTGGAATGAATTCCAGTACAAAGCAGTGAATTGATTGACTCTCGCACAACCAATTCACCACTATCAATCAAGGAAGCTCTCTTAACCTAATCAGATTCTATCTATCATAGGTTAAAGCAGAAATCAAGAGAATTTGATCAAGATTCAATTGACTCAATAAATCATGCCTCAATCGATTATAATCAAACAATATATAACATCCAAAACTTCATACAAGAAAGATCCTAACACATGGAACTAGGGTTCCTCAAAACCTGAGTGAAGGGAAGTTACTCCATAGAGAAGAGAGAGACTGCAAAAATCTGATCTAGATCTTCAATCTCCATCTCCAAGCTTGATTCCCGAGCTCCAATGGCGAAGAAATCCTCCAAAATAGCTCCAAGAATGTTCCCAAGTCGCTCTCTCTCTAGGGTTCGTCCCTTGGGTGTTTGGGAACCAAAAACCCAGCTCTCCCCTTTCCTTTGGCTGAAAATCGAGTTTTAAACAGAAATTCCCGATCACGCGGCCAGGCCACACGGCCGTGTGGCTTTCCCAGCTGCCCGTGTGAAGGCTCGGTGATTTCCACACGGCCACGACCCACACGGCCGTGTGGATTTCCAGGATGCCCGTGTGGCTTGCTCAACCTCTGTTTAATGCTTCGTTTCTCCTTCGTCCAGACTCTGAATCAGTCCCCGTTTGATCCCAGACGCTCGTAGTCTCGTCCTCTTTCTTTTCATGAAAAGCTTGTATGATTCTTTGTCCATAAAGTGAGATAGAAATCCATTCTTCTTCAGGTCATGCCCGAGTTTCTTCTCCCGAATCGTCAATTGATCTCTGATTGATTTGAAACTTGCGCCTATGCTTCACTTTATGTGCTAGGACCTGAAATGTGACAAAGGAACACAACCTAGCATAAAATAGGACAAAGACGCAATAATTCAAGCTCAAACAATCAAGAAACAAAGGGGAAAACATGTGCAAATACCGAGTCATCATGATGATTTTGGGCTGGGAAACAGCAGCAGCAACACTGATAGTGTGGCAGCAGCCAGCGAAAGAGTTGAGACGGAGACTTCAGTTTCAGGCAGTGAAGACCATGAAACTTCAGACGAACCACGCCCTCCTCCACACATAAGCAAGCGGCACCCTCCATCACTTGTCATAGGTAAGTACGACGAAGGTATGGTCACTCGATCTAAAGCTGTAGATAGCTAAAATGCTTTTGTTTCTTTAATTGAATCTAAGTCTGTAGAAGAAGCCTTACTCGACGAGTTTTGGCTGAATTCCATGCATGATGAGATGAATCAATTTGATCGGGCTAAGGTTTGGGACTTGGTTCCTAAACCAGAAGGGGTGAACGTCATAGGGACTAAATGGATTTACAAAAACAAATCTAATGATGTAGGGGTCATTATTAGGAACAAGTCGAGGCTTGTTGCTCAAGGCTACTGTCAGGAAGAAGGCATCGATTTTGAAGAATCTTTTTCCCCAGTAGCTAGACTAGAGGCGATTAGAATGCTTTGCGCTTTTGCCAGTTCAAATGGTTTTAAACTTTTCAGATGGATGTAAAAAGTGCGTTCTTAAATGGTGATTTGAAAGAAGATGTTTATGTTGCTCAACCCCCAGGATTTGAAGATGCCAAGTATCCAAACCATGTTTATAAGTTAAACAAGGCCTTGTACGGTTTAAAACAAGCTCCCAGAGCTTGATACGACAAACTGAGCAGTCTCTTAATTAGTAATGGTTTTTCTAGGGGTTCTGTAGACAAAAATCTCTTCACCAAAAATAAAGGGTCAAAAATGCTGCTCGTTCAAGTGTATGTTGACGATATTATTTTTGGGTCATCTGATGTAGATCTGTGTCATGATTTTGAAAACCTTATGAACGAAAATTTTGAAATGAGTCTTATGGGAGAGCTAACTTATTTTCTGGGTTTTCAAGTCCATCAAAGTCCAACAGGAATTTTCATTAACCAAAGCAAATATCTGAGTAACATGCTAACTCGTTTTGACCTGGGAAATTTAAAACCAACAGCAACTCCTATGGCTACAAATGTGAAACTTGATAGGGATGAAGCAGGCATTAGTGTGAGCGAGAAGTTGTATAGGGGAATGATCGGTTCCTTACTATATCTAACTGCCAGTCGCCCTGACATTATGTTTGTTGTCTGTGTTTGTGCTCGGTTTCAAAGCTGCCCTAAGGAAAGTCATATGGTAGCGGTTAAGCGTATTTTTTGATATCTTGCTAGTACAGTTTCTTGGGGTCTTTGGTATTCCAGTGGGTCTGGCCTAGATCCCATAGGATATAGTGATTCTGATTTTGCCGGAAGTTTGACTGATAGGAAAAGTACCTCAGGTGCTTGTCACTTCTTGGGTAATTCTCTTATCTCGTGGTTTAGCAAAAAACAGAATTCATTAGCTCTTTCAACTGCCGAGGCAGAATATGTTGCCGCTGGAGCTTGTTGCACTCAGAGTCTATGGATTAAGTATCAACTTCTAGACTATGGTTTGGAGGTAACTACTTTACCTGTGCTATGCGACAATACCAGCTCCATCAACATAGCCAAGAACCCGATTCAACACTCTAGAACTAAGCATATAGATATTAGGTATCACTTCATCAGAGAACTTGTGGAGGCTAACATTATTCACCTAGAATTCATTCAAACTAGGTTCCAATGGGCTGACATTTTCACGACCTGGCTGCTGAACCCTTTTCTCTCATCCGTAGAGAATTAGGATTAGAATCTCTAGAGGCTGTGATTCTTTCCTCATAATTTCGTTGGACAGTCAAGGGCTGGCTAGTCCTCATTCGAATGCTGCCCATTGTGAGTAAGTTTCCTATCAAGTAATGGTAAGTATTCTCTGTCTTTCTGGATGCTAGCTGTTCTCCTCCTTACTCGAGAAGGTTGAGGTAAGTTCTCAAATTTTGTGAGCTTGAGATTTTTGTGTTCAGTAGATTAAGTAACTTCATATGCTTTTATGTGATCAAATTTTTTGAAATCCTTCCCTCCCTCTCTGTCATTCTCGAATCCTTTTTCTGATTCCCTTTTCAAATCACCACTTACCAAGTTTTGGTGATTCTTTCCTCCACATCTTTGGGTATCCTCTCCCCTTATAAACCGTCCCTCCCACAGTCTTTGTCTCACTCACCATCGTATCTTTTCAAATTCATCGCATCATGTTCTCTCATCGTGCTCACCATGGCTTTCAACCCCCAGCTTTCTCTCATCACTGCTCGATCATCTGTGTTCACTAACAACATCTGCACTGATCCTCGGGACTATGCTCGTACACTTCGATACTTCCGACATTGATGCCTCATCCCATTCCATACGATTGAGCCAGCCACTTTCAATCGCTATCAACTGCGCGTCGCAGAGCTGGTCAGTGCTCTGGGCTGGACTCTGCTGCTGGAAAGACAGAGATTCACCTATCATCCAGAAGCAGTGCGCACCTTTTATGCGTACATGCGTCGCATCAGCGGTCCTGGTCCGGCAACAGCGACAACTACGGTGTATGGACACACCATAACCATCATTGTGGAACTCTTGTCTCAGATGCTGCGTCTCTCCACCAAAGGCCGAGAGGTAATGAGCGGGGCTGATTTCTATCGATATCATTTTAGTCCTCGCGCTGCCATTTCTCGCCTTTCCTCTATTGAGACAGTTGGGATAAACTCTACAACTCTAAGTTGTCTTCCTGATGAGTTAAAGGTGCTGCATTTTTACATTACCTGGGTTTTCCTCCCTCGCATTGTCGATCGGTACACAGTCACTCCCCTCGATCTTTGGATCATGTCCAATGATGTATCCTACCACAAGCTGAGCTATCCCCACCTTATGATGCACCATATGATGACCTACAGTGATCATCAAAACTGCGGCTACCTTCCCCTTACCCCCCCCCCCCCCCAGATATCTCGGTTCCTTAGCTGTCTTGGAATTGATCTCGAGGACAAGGCTTCATTTGTTAACGTGCTCGATAATCTTCGGGCGCAACATATCCTTCGTCGAGTGGATGCTTCTGTCGGCATTCGCAAGCTTCGGAATGCTCAAGGGGGAGCAAGGCTGAAGCGAATGATGTTCGCAATACCGAAGCAGATCTTGCTGCTGTATGCAGGTGCTTGGAAGGCATAACGAAGGATAAAGGTAAGAGGAAGCTGACTGATAGAAGCAAGGAGGAACCACCTCGTCCAACTACTGCAGGGAAGAGTATTCAAATCGTCACCAAGAGTATAGAAGAACCTGAGGAGCCTATAGAGTTTGAAGAACCTGAAGAGCCTGCAGAATCCCGAGCTGATAACTTTTTCAACTTCTCTTACGGGGATATTTCTGAATACGAGTCTGATCCGGAATACGATTTTTAAAGAGGCATAAGAGTCAGGGGGAGGATGTTTCTTGGAGTAGAATTTTCTTTGCTGAAGTTTATTTTGTTTCAAGTTGAGTTTTTGTTTGAGTGTTTGGAATAAAGTCTTGATCATCCTCTTTTGAAATAATCATTGGTTGGTTTTGATTTTTTTTGGTCAATCCTACTAAGAGCAGTCTTGATGAATAAATCTCTATAATCGGTGTTTGTGGTGGTTTTCGTTTTGATTAAGCAACAGGGAAGGACATTGCTGAGCTGAGGGGGAGAATGTTGAGGTCAGCGTCACAATATCCACCACCAACCCCAGCTGGAATCATATCAGCAGAATCGTCTTATTGATGGCAAAGAAGGAAGGTGACGCATTCAAATGAAACAGAGAAGGAAAGTGCAACGGTCCTGTCTAACAGCTACTCACAGTGGAGCAATATATATAACACTTTGATCAAAGAGTAAGAGGCAGACTTTTCCAGCGACTTCAAACAAGAGAGCTAGAGCTTTAGCAAGGGTTTGTGTGGAAAAGTCAGCACAGAGATTAGGAGTGATTTCTGGGTACTAATATAGGTGGTATATCAGGGGTTCTATTGGCTGGGTAGCTAATAGGGAGAGAAAGGTTTGACGATCAATCAGTAGGCTGATCAGGTCACTCTGATTGTGTTTCGAAGGGAGCTTAAAGAACAATCTCTAGTGAATCGTCAGAGATCGCAAGAGAGCGATTCTCTGACCGTGGATTAGTCAGTGTTGGGTTCGTTAATCACCTAACACCGGATACCACGTAAAAATTTGGTGTTGTGTTCTATTTTCTGCATTTGGTTGGATTTGCTTATATCCTGCTGCACTCTGTTCATGTGTCTGGGTTGAAAGTAAAGAACAGGGGGTTTTGATCTCAGTCGAAGAGAAGGGAAGGATCAGATTGGGTTGGTAAAACGGTGAGTTTTTGGAAAAGGGTTGGTGTCTGACTTGTGAACAAGCCAAGGAGAAGTTTTCGAGTGGGCTGGTGAGTAACCTAAATAAAACAAGCTTTGGGTCTCGGCCCAACTCTTCCAAGGCTAAGCTATCTGTTGCTCAAACACCAAAAGAAGAAAACTTTTCTCGTCATTTCGATCAAACAGGAACTCTAGGTAAAATTGGTCCCGCTGTTCTTGCCGAAAGACACGACAAAGGGTTTGTGCTGGTGTTGAATCTATCCAAAGAAAAAGAAGTGAAGGCCGATTTGTCTCGCGCTCGACACTTCTACAGCTAAGTGGGTCTTCAAAGTGAAATATCGTCCGGATGGCTCTGTGGAAAGGTACGAAGAAAGGATGGTAGAAAAAGGTTACACTCAAATAGAAGGTGTCGATTTTCACGATACCTTTGCTCCTGTTGCAAAACTAGTCAGTGTTCGGTGTCTCTTGGCAGTTGCAGCTAACTTGACGTCAACAATGCGTTTCTTCATGGTGATTTATCAGAAGAGGTCTACATGAAGATAGCGCATGGCTTTGATCAAGCTGGTGATTCTCGCGTTTGTCGATTAGGCAAATCCATCAATGGATTCCGCCAGGCTTCGTGAAATTGGTATCAAAAGTTCACCACCTCTCTTGGTGATCTTGGTTTTCGTGCATCCCCGGCGGATCATTCTCTTTTCATCTACAAAAAGGGGTCTGTGTTTGTTGCTGCCCTAATTTACGTTGATGATGTGATTTTTGCCCACAATGATATGGGGTTCATTGATCACGTCAAGCGGTTCCTTGATGACAAGTTTAGCATCAAAGACCTTGGCGTTCTTCGTTACTTTCTTGGACTAGAGGTTGCTCGTTCTCCTCGTGATATCGTCATCAGTGAGCGAAAATATGTGTTGGATATTCTCATCGAAGTAGGGGTCCTTGGTTCACGTCTGAGTGCTTTTCCGGTTGAGCAAAATCATCAGCTCACCAAGCCCTCATCTGATCTTCTCGTCGATGGCTCCTCTTATCAGCGTCTCATTGGTCATCTTCTTTATCTGACGGTTTCTCATCCTGACATCACTTATGGTGTCAACATCTTGAGTCGATTCGTCCATGCCCCCACACAGGCCCACATGGACTCAGCTCGGCTCATCTTGAGGTACCTCAAAACGTCTCCTGGTCAGGGCCTCTATTTTTCGGCTGATGACACGCTAAAACACAACACCAAACTGCGACCAAGTGTAATCGCAGTCCGGAAATGCAGTAAAGTGGCAAGTTCTAATTATCAACCCGGGGTCTAGATCTACTTTCTACTCCGTGAATATCTATTATCTAGCCAACTAAGTCGATTGATTGTGGTTTTAACTAAAAGTAGTAAGAAAGCAGGAAATGGTTTGGTTTTCTGAAGCAAAGGAAGAGTCACTCGGGAATGAGTCCCCCTAGCTCCTTAGTTAGGTCTCAGTTGTAATTACCCTGGGTTGATTTACTGTTGATTAAACTGCGGAAGATCCGACAGTAGTTTGGAATCTCTTAAGCTGACCAAGCCCTCTCAGTCCAACTACCCGGCAGACGACTAGTCTTCACCGGGATAGAAATCTGAGGCAAAAAGCACAGAACTCCACTACTGGAATTGGGTTCCAGTACAAAGCAGTAGATTGATTAACTCTCGTATAACCAATCTACCACTACCGAATGATAAAGCTCTAACAACCTAATCAGATTCTATCTATCTCAGGTTGCACAGAAATCAAGAAAAGATGATCGGACTTCAATTGATTCAATGAATCAGGCATCATTCGATTAAAACCAAACAATATAACAATCCCAAGTCATTACAATCAAGATCCCTAACACATGGAACTAGGGTTCTTCATACCCAAGTGAGAGAAGGTTCTACTCCATAGAGAGAGAGAGGGAAACAAATACAAAGCAGTCATACTCATAACAATGGGAAGAATCTGCTCTGGGATGTCAATCTTCACTCCAAGGATGATTTCCAAGCTTGATTGATGAAACCCAGCTCCAAAACCACTCTTAGGGGGTGTTCTTTGCACTTTCTCTCCCTAGGGCTCTGTTTTTGCTCCAAAAAGTCGATTCCCCCTCCTTTGGCTCTGTTTTTGGGTTAAAACCCAGAAATTCCCGACCACACGGCCGTGTGGCTTTTTAGGCGTGCCCGTGTGAGTGTGCAAAACGCCGCGTTTCACTTAAGTGGCTTCAGGTACGCTACACGGCCAAAACCACACGGCCGTGTGGATTTTAGGCGTGCCCGTGTGAGCTCCCTGGACTTTCCACACGGCCACAAGGGGTCCCCTACACGGCCAGTGTGGCTTGCCCGTGCAATTTGGTGTCACACGGCCGTGTGGGTTTTTTGGCATGCTCATGTGGCTTTTCCAGCTTTTCGTCAAACGCCCCAACTTCGTCCAATCGACCCCGAACTCGTGCCCAAACCTTCTTTTACGTACTAGGACCTGAAATATTACAAACAAGAACAACCTAGCGTGAAATCGGCCAAAAACACGAGAGATGAGACTCAAACGGTACGGGAATGGTGGATAAAAACATGTGTATATATCAAGTCATCAGCTGACAACTCTTTGAAACTTGTTGCGGGGCTGGCTGCAGTCCACCCGTCGATCCACCACTGGTTTTGTTGTTTCTCTTGACTCCGCCCTGGTTTCTTGGCGCACTAAGAGACAGAAGGTGGTGGCGCGTTCGTCTATTGAAGCTGAGTATCGTGTTATGGCTAGCACTGTTAGTGAAGTCCTCTGGTTACGCTGGTTGCGGCATGAGTTAGGTGTTCTGCAACAGAGTTCCACACCTCTTTACTATGATAATCAAGCAACTCTTCATATTGCTATTAATCCGGTATTTCACGAGCGGACTAAGCATGTTGAAATGGACTGCTAATTTGTTCGTGAACGAGTTATTTCCGGTGATATCCATCCTCGGAAGGTCAGCTCTCAGTACCAGGTCGCGGATCTCTTCACCAAAGGCTTGGATGTTGATCGTTTTCAGTTTCTTTTGTCCAAGCTAAACGTTCGTTACCTTCACCGCTTAGCTTACGGGGGGCGTATTGGGCCGAGATGAGGATGAGCCCATGGAATCCAGGCTCACATGTGCCCATGCTGTGGTAACCTTTTCTTTTGTGGCAAGGAATTCCTTTTACCCTTGTAATTCTGATTCTTCTACTTGTGCCCTGAGCATAGGAAGGTTATATAAAGGAGCTGTAAGCCATGCGGCTGCTGTATCTATCAATTCATCAATAATAATCACATATTCGGAAAGGCGTTCCTCTCCCGTGGAATAGTCCTGACAAGTCGCTAAGGATACCACGTAAAATCTTGTGTCTACTTTACTTACGATTTATCATGCTATCGGCATGCATATAAGCAGGAAAGCTCTCCATGTATATTACAAACATTAGCTGACTACATGATAGAAGCCAAAAAGGACAGGTCGATCCACACTAAAATGGCGTTCATTCAAGAAGGAATTATTTAGTTGTTCATTAAACTGAAATGCATCCAGAATAGAACAAACCCCATATGTGATTCTTTGCTTCAATTGTTCCGATTCCAATGAATTTGACGAACTTCCCAGCTGAAAATACACATCATTATAAAAATCTCGTACCAAGTAACTGATGAAACATCACCGACCCAAAAACTGAAGAGGTGTATCAGCCGGACTAGTAACCTATAATTCCCTTGTACCTCCAATTGCATAATCAACAACTAGGGGTGAAAGCTTGTCCCGGAAGACCCACTGACCCGTCCCGACCCGTCCCGTCCCTGAGGGTCGGGACGGGTCAGTTTGTCTACAGGGACAGATTAGGGACGGGTCATTTGTTGACCCTGTAAGGGTCGGGACAGGTCGGGACAACTTAGGGACGGGTCACGTTTTGACCCTGTGACCCTTAGCAACAACAAATATCTCATACTTCATTGGACTTTTTTGTAAAGTTTTAAAAGTTTAGGTACTAATTTGTAAAAATAAAAAAATATGGGTACCAAAACGTAATTTTACCATCAAAATTTATGGACTTATTTGTAAAAATAATAAAATTTAGGTACTAAATTGTAAGAAAAAATAATTTTGGGTACCAAAACGTAATTTGTAAAAAAGTAGTATGTTGATTAGGGTCGACCCACTGACCCGGCCAGTCCCGTCCCGTCCCAACCCTTGAGGGTCAGACAGGGTCAAGAAGGAGACAGGGACGGGACGGGACAGTTATACATCTTGACCGTTCAGGGACGGGTCAGATAAGGACAGGGACGGGACAGACAAATTTTCAGCCCTATCAACAACACCATTGAAATATTAGGAGTGATAGGAAGCAACAGAAAAACAAACGGTTTACTTCACCATTCTCTCTCCTTAGATCACATCACGCCTATAACTAGTTTTCAGAACAAATTCAGACCAGAATTAGGCTCCCTTCCAAGATTTCCAATGCAAACAACAAAACCAAGACAATGACAATCCGACATGCATAGTGTATTGCATTTGCATGTCTCTTCCCCATGTCGTAACCAACTGGGTAGGGATTACTTTATGGTCCTAATACTTAAAAGCGGGCAAAAGCTTTCGCCACAAGAGATCTCAAACTTCTAAGCTATTTTCAGTACTAGGCTACCTGAATCATAATTGATGTCCATGCTTCTTCAAGAGACAGTTATCCTAAATGAAAATCCAGCTTTTATGCAACAACAAGAAATAGCAACCCAAGGGAAAGCACAAGGAAGCTGAATTTTCAGCATCAACTGCACGAGGAAGCATTTCTCCAGCGTTCCAACTAGGAATGACAATGGGGTAGGTCTGGGGAGGGTATGGAGGTCGAGTAATTTATTATGGGACGCGGGTCGAGGCAGGTCGATCCAATGGATATGTAATTTATGTGAAAAATATTAGAAATATTGGTTATTTTCATTATAAGACAAAAAAAAAATCATAATATGATAAATTTAGTTAACTTATTGGAGAAATTGAGGTTTTTAATAATATATAATTTTATTATAGTTAAAATATGATGTGATAAAATGAAAATTTTAAGTAATTTGACTAAGATTACATGTAATTTAGCCAAGAACGGGTCGAGAATGTGAAAAAAGTTCTCTTAAAATGTGAAAAGATTTTTTTTTTTTTTACAAGGTGAAAAGGTCTTAATAGTTGCCATTCTATCCCACAATGGATGCCATAACATTTTGTGAGACAAATGCACTTATCTTGTTATCCCATCTACAAATCATTGATCCAATATTCAACGAACCAATCACCATGTGAGGTAACATTTATCATATCAATAACTTGGCAACACTAAATTCGAAATATGAGCATACGTTCCAACCAGTGGCAGATACATGGATGTTTGGGACACCCCTAAAATTTGGAAAAGCGATTGTCCAACCTCTAATAGTAGTTTGTTCAACTTATGGAAAAATCATTATTCAGCTTCCTGTAGTACGTAGTTATGTGTACATAAAATATTTATGTAGTAGTCTATATGATTTGAACTTGGGAATATACTGCTGCTATTAATAAACATATTTTTAATTAGACTTTATTGTTTTGTTTTAAATTCAAATATAATAGTAAAAGGCTATTCTTTTCTCTAATTATTTTCAAAATCTAATGATTAACCCAATTAGGGGCTACACTTGTCTAGTAGGATATGTCGAGAGATATTTGTTGAGTAGTGTAGACACCAAATGTATTTTACCATTTTTCATAACACGAAACACGTTTGAACTTTTATGGTAACTTTTACTAGTTGGGTAATTATTAATTTTTATATTTCATATTTAATAATAATTTATTTTATTTTAATTAAATTAAATTTTTGGAAGAGGACACCCCTAGTAAACTTTCTGGATCCGTCATTGGTTCCAACAGGCAATGAGGCACCATAAGTCAACTGTCAAGCAAGGCTTCAAGTAAGAACAAGAACAAACATCGAAGGCAACGGTGGATCCCACAATTCTTGCGTTTTCATTTTGTGGTTGCTATTCGTCGCCATAAAAATCTTTATTCTTCGTCCTAATTATGTAAAATTTACTCTAATGCCCTTTGTTTAATTGTAATTTTTAACTTAAATTAAGAAAATATATATGATTTCTTTTGTGAGACAGTTTGAATGGTTTGTTCGATATTTTGGTGATGATATGAATATGAAATCGCCTATGGTCAATGTTAACTTCATTAATCAATGTATTATACAAGTCTTGTATGTTATATATCATAAACAATTCTATACGATTTTGTAACGATTAACCACTGAACCTTAAACCACTAACTTTTTCGGTTCAATGTCTTATACGATTCTGAAAACAGTGCAAAGCATACAACACAGTAATGCATACAAGAAAACAGAGGAATGCAATTCTTATGTTTCTTGCTGCAGAGGAATCATAATAGTGATTCTCTTCTTGCTTAATGTTTGTGGACTGGACTCATTTTACTTGGTATTCCAGTTAAAGGGTCGAGCTGGAAATGTTTCGATTGTTGACGAAGGAAAAGCAACGAACAACATGCAACGATTGTGGTGGCGAAGGAGCCATCAAAGGATCCCAGGAGTAATGCCAACCGTGGTGGATGAGCAGCCAGCGCAAGGATCTGATCATGGTGGAGGAAGAGCAATCAAAAGATTTGAGGAGCAAAAAGACGAAACTTTTCTCTTCAGGCATCAACCGGTCCAAATACAACCCAAAATTAGAGTAGCAGTAAAACATTAATCGAGTAAGGACCTAATAATCCCATGATGATGATGATACATGTTCCTAGAAAAGAAACCTTCAGGCAACGACAAACAGAAAGCTTTTCGAGCTGGAACTGCAAAACTGAAAGACCTCACCAACCAAGTAGAACCAAATCAAAAGAGGCAAAGAAGCCTTAGCATAGAGTAAAAGAAAAAAGGGGAAGAAAGTCACTCCAAGCAAAGTTATAGCAGCAGCTCAGCAATCTGAACGGCATTCAAGGCGGCTCCCTTCCGTATTTGATCCCCACAGACGAAGATGTCCAACCTGCAAAACCCATGTTCCCCCCACCCCCCAACAAATTACTTAACATGGCTGCTCAAGGAAGAAAGAAATGACACTCCATGTACTTCAAGGAATGACCTCGCAAGCACAACAGAAAAGGCAGTTACAAGGTTTGCTTACCCGTGATTGCCTTCTTGAGACAGATCTTGCCGAATTCTGCCAACTGCAACGTCGTCCTTGTTCGACACTTCCAGCGGCGTTGGGAAATGGTTGGATGCACGGTCATCGATCACCACCACACCTGGTGCATTTTTCAGAATCTCCCTTGCTGTATCCTGTTCACAATAACACCACAAAAGAGAATGTCGTGTTAGACCAATAAGCTGTCGTTTCTTCAATATCATCAAGGGGTTTGGTCTTAAATGTTATTTGTCTCAATTAGCTGCTCTTCATTTTGCATGTAAGCTCAAAGGCATTGTTTGGTCCAAAGCATTTGTCCAGAAAAATATGCTAACATGCTTAAAAACGACGTCTGGAAGAAGTTGACCCCTCCAGGCTTAAGAAGAAAATTAAAACGCTAAATTGGACACAGCCCTTTTCACGAAGGGATGCCGTGTTCTATGTATGTGAGAAAGATAAATTTTCTCAACAAAAACAGATAAACGAGAGAAAAAACAAAGAAAAGATGAGCGAGTATGAATAAATGATTCTGTTGCAGATTCGATTCTGAACTGACAGGTCATATTTGGGGGCAAGTAATATCGATGAATGAAATCATAAGATAGCGAGATGTTATAGAACTGGCAATGTGCTGGAAATTCAAGTTGCAAGATTTGACAGGTAACCATAGTTTAGTGACAGAAAGGGGAAGAATTTACTGCTAAAAGTGAAATGAAATGGCAAAGTAGAAAGAAATGTTCCCTATGTTGCTAGCTAAACAACTCTTTCAAGGCAATGCTAAACCAAGAATCACCACTGCTTGGAAAATATCAGCTAGTGGGAACTACTCTAGACTTGTACCAGCCAGCGTCAGAATCTCAACTGAACTGATAAACATATTTCAGAGGCACTTCTTAGGGTAAACGATAAGAGAAATAGAACCTAGCTGTTCCCTTCTAAAACTTCAACCCAAATCTTTCAACCAAAGAGGAACAGGGAGAAACCACAGCAGCCTACAAAACAGCTCAAATAGCAGTCGCAATTCCTATAACAGTAAACAAGATGGGCTAGGTAGTTTACAACATTTTTCCAACTAGCAGAAAGTGATGCTGGCACGTTGGCAAATCAAGCATCAAGAAGTCCATTATCCTGATCCTAGCATGAGTGCATTCAGCCGCAACAGAGAAGGAGAAAGCTCAAAAGAGTTTCAAATTGAAATAGAGCAGAGAACTTATGAACAAAAAGGCATGCAAGGCTGCTATGACCATAAAAGATGTTAGGCACCTCCATGTTAGCCAGATCCTTCAGCAGGGCCACAAAGCACCACTGAAAGAGAAACCTAACTATTGTGCTTACTAAACAAGGGTTCCAATCCAAAGCTTAAAATAGATGGAACTTGCAAATATTTACCTCATCAAGTGGCTTCTCGAATTGGAGATTAACACTCTCCGCATGAGCACGCATGACGGGGACTCTTATACAGGTAGCAGTGATCTTAACATCCAAGTCACTCTGGAATTATCAAAACAGACAGGAAGAGACAGAGATACATTAGAAATGTAAACCACAGTTCAGAAATAACAGTAAGCAGGAATTTTGACGTTAGAGTGGCATGTCTCTGGCCCCAACAGGAATACCCAAGTAACCCATCATATGTTGACCATGATTGGAGAATTCACAAAGCTAAATGATCAAATCTTACCCAGATTTTCCTGGTCTCTTTTACTAATTTCATTTCTTCTTCATTGTATCCATTCGGTAGAACTGGTGCATTGTGTGAAAACAAATTAAAAGCATACTGCACACATCCGACAAAAACCCTTCATCAGCTTCACTTGTAAGGCAAGAAAACATGAAAAAGAAAGAGCACAATAGAACAATAATGCATCATCAAAGGGGCAAACCTGTTGGCTAAATATGTTACAAGTTGGCGGCTTTCCTTCCAACACCTTACCAAAAACAAAGAAAGCACCAAACTTCAGAAAGACGGCAAATTGATGACACATTATCAAGAATAAGAACACCAACAGAGTATATAAATCAGAATAGATAGATGAAGGAAAACCTCACGAGTCTGGAGTTCAAGCTCTTCCATGGCAGCAGCACCAGCCCCACTGGCTGCCTGATATGTACTGACAACCATACGTAACACCTGCAACCCAAACGCCAATGAAACAATTTCACCATTACAAAAACTCAAATCCAAAGCTACAAATCCGAGAGATCAGGGCACTTCATTTCATTTACGAATTCAAGCAAGGCACAGAAAAAAGCTGGCATAAATCAAACAAAAAAGCATTTGAAATGAAAGATTCATTCCCCAAACTGTCTGAAACTCTTAACTAACAGAACAAAAGATAAATTTCTTACCTTGGCACGTTGATGCAATGGAGTGGCAGCCATCAAACAGATAATGGTAGAGCAATTGGGGTTTGCAATCAAAGCTCCTTTCCCCATCCCAACCTTAATCCCCTGCATAGCATGGGGATTGACCTCAGGAATCACCAAAGGAACCCCATCCACCATCCTGAACGCGGAGCTGTTATCAACAACAATGGCGCCCTTCTCCACCGCCGCCGGCCCAAACTGCTTGCTAATTGACCCACCTGCGCTGAACAGGGCGATGTCGACCCCGTCAAAGCTATCGGCGGTCAGCTCCTCCACCGTGTAGTTCCGGTCCTCGAAAGTCATCTGCTTCCCAGCCGAGCGCTTGGAAGCCAGCATTTTGATTGAACGGTAAGGGAAATCCCGGTCGGAGAGGACGGAGAGGAACTCTTGGCCGACGGCCCCCGTGACGCCGACGACGGCGATTGAAGGGCCGGTTTCTTGAAGGGACATGCGGACTGTGAATGGGGAACGGAGGTTCTTGGTGGGTTTGGGGAGAGGGGAGGTGGAGAAAAGGCGGCCGTGGGCGTGGGGCTGAGTGAAAGTCGCCGCCATTGTTTGAGTTCTTTCTTTTGGGGGGGAGATTCTGTGGAAAACGGAAACAGCGGCGGGCGGAGACTGGAGTGGGTAAATTTTGCCTGGGAAGAAGAAGGGTTCAGTATTCAGTAACAAGTCAAGATTGAGAAATCAGAAGAGGGTTTAAGTCTTTAAGATCTTACTAGTACTTGTCCCGCGCTCCGCGACGGGGTAAGTCTGATTCCAGTTGTTTTGTGGATTTTGTTATGTTCTTTCTGCTATACCATTCGCAAATAGTTTAGATTCATTGCGCCAGAGAGCGCAGAAATTAACAAACATATTAACAATCTTTGTGCACACCACACATATACATCTGCCATAGTTTTGTCTTCATTGAAAATAGGGAATAAAAACTTTAGTATCTGATGCCCTCGACGAAATTAAAAAACACAAACACATCTGCCATAGTTTTGTCTTCACTGAAAATAGGGAATAGAAACTTCAGCTTAAAATGGAGAATTCTAGGGGTGGATGGGATACTTCGGTTGGCCTTTCTGTCAGTAGTGTTGATGGTCACTTATCTATCCTTGAGGTGTGCCAAAGTGTCGCTACTCTGATTTGGGATACGGCTGTTCTGGTTCTGTTCTTCAGATCTGAGGAACCGATGTAGAGCTCTCCTGCAAACATTCTGCTACATCTTTTGACCAGCAACGCCTTGGCCGATTCTGCATCGAGTTTTTTGTATTTGCTGGGTGACATTCCTATTATTGATAGTGTAGCCTCGTGGTCCAGTATGGCATCAACACTATCATCTCCTTGCTTGCATTTGACTTCCAACTCATAGTGCAGCCTAGTCATAAGTATAAGTTCAGAAACTTGTTGGCTTATTTGTAGATAGATTGATTCACATGAGAAGTAATTGTCGTTTTGAAATAGAAAACTTACTCTGGCCAGTCCTCAGTCGCTTGACATATGGCTTTTCGAAATTTCATTTGTGAGATGAAGAACTTAACATGATAGAGTACCTAGCATGAACATCAGATACTGATAAGACATAGCTCTACGAAAAATGTAGGTACACAGTATAGGAGTTTGGTTTATGTTCTGTCCCTCACTAACCTTGTGGATAGTCTGATCAAATGCAAGCATTGTTTCCATGTCAGTGAGTGTCTTCTTTTCGATTCCTGATCGAAGGCAGCCTGTCTTCTTACTGGTATTGGCATCCATGAAATAAACTTGTCTGCGACTGTAAAGGAAACTGGTTGTAGCATAAAAGAGACAAAAGTGTCAATGTAATTGGTTTTGGCCGACTGGCAACAAATATGATTCAAAAAATGGAAAGGATTCTGTCAAACTAAATGTACATGTGCATTATCTCCTGGACTGGGACTGTATAAGATCTAATCATGAGTGCACTGGCAGGAGTGGATTCGAACCGATACTTGTATTTCTGGTCGGCTAGAGGTGTCACCCGAATGACAGACTTGATTGTAACAATCAGAGGCAGATGAGCCTCAGCTGTCGTGGCGTTCTCTAAGAAGTTCGGTATGTCATATCCACGATACCGAACAGTTGCCTTAGCGCCACTGTCAACGACATTAATATGTGAGGTTGTTTATTCATACAATTCGCAGATCGAGATTCTATTCTACAAAATGTACCTCACATCCTGAACGACCATGTGAAATTCTTTGAGTCTACTGCGAATTGTTGTGGGAACACTGAGACGCCTAATGCATACGGTGATGTCTATAAGCAACATAAGAGTTTGTCATTTAAAAGCTTAAGTTCATTTTATTATATAAAAAATATATGGTTAATGTACCTGTATGATAGTCGATGGTGTTTGTCTGAAGTGGTACCATCGAAAAAACCATCCCAATGTCCCAGCCAGCGGGCAAGCGTGGCTCATCTGGGTCCTCCTCAATCCTGGTAATTTTTTGGTGAGCGGTTATGTGCACTCTTAACTCTCCTGCAACGATCTTTGGATTCTCTCTTGCTGGTATTGCTTCAACCGAATCAAACTGATAAAGGTTCCCGACTTTTATCTTGCGAGAAATCTCGGTGATGTCTTTTTCATCAACCATTGACTCGATTAGTCGTGCCTATAAGATAAGCAGTTAAACGGTTCCAAATTATGTATTATAGTAGTTTAAAATTGTTGATGAAGAGATTATCTAATTCTGTAACTGAAATGGAAAAAAACCTTTTTATCTATCCAGATCATGTGCATGCTAAGATTTTTAAGCTTGGGCGCCTCTCGATACTCGAGCCATGCCATCACAGGCCTAGCAATTACTATGCGGACGTTGGTGCCCAGACGCAGCCCTCGAAATGGCATGCAAGTTTCGATCGGATCTATAATAAGACAGTATAGGGAAATGAAACACATATTTTATCTTTGGAGCAGAGGATTTGAGATACCTGGTAGTATTCTTTAACAAAAATGGAAAGCATTCACCTTTGTTGTCGGTGGGGACCATGTGAGCGTCCTCTGTTGACTGCTGGTTTTTGGCCAAACCCTCCATGTCTTTTGGGGTCTTTACGCAAACAATGTGGATGATGATCAGAAGTTAATTCCCAAGTGTGAAAACGGTGAGGAAGAGCAGGACGTAGAGTTACCTTTGTTTTAAAGGCTGTCGTGTAGTTCGGTGGTGGGCTTTCGCGGCGGAGCAAAGTGTATGGAAATGTGGACGGTGGATCTGGTTGATGAAGACAGTTAGGGTTTATAAAGGAAGCGGTGATTTTGGGCCAGTTTCCCATGGGCTTCTGTCTGCAATCCTAAAGCATGTTCGGGCTGGGCTCAATACCATTCCATTACTATCAAAACGTAAGAAAACGTGGGCTCGGTTTTAGTAAGCGTTTAAGGCCGAAGAATTCAAAACGCAAACAATGTCTCCTGCTAGTTTTTTTGGTAGATACAATATTAAAGGCGGAAAGTAGTTTCTCCATGTGCCCAATCAGGGACTTCATGATCAAAACAAAACATTCACCTCTCTAAACTATTGAGGTACAAACATCAGGGACTTCCATATGGACCAAACAGAATAACCAGTGGCTAGCAAATTGTCGAAGCGAGTACATTGGTGAATTTCCAAAATACCAGAGTAGTTAGGGGGAAACATTAAGTTATTTTGACAGAAAACAGAGCAACATGTCCTGAATAGATAACATACATAATTATAAATAAGCTGTCCCGACAAACTAAGTTCCAAGTAGAACAGTTTCCAATCACACGAAAGCATTAGGGTTCCAGATTGAAGCAATTCGGATTGCAGGAGGATTTTCTGAAGTCCCAGGAGCAACATAAGCTTCAGCCATAAAAGGCACATAACACCTGTCTTGAATGTACTGATATCCTTCTTCATAGGTTAGACTGAAAAGTTCCTCGGGTGACACCCAAACCAAGCCCAACACAGCTTCATGATCAAACACAACATCAACATATTCTCCGTCACACTCACATGTTGCTTGTAATTCATATCGTACCCTGAATTAAACAATAAAAGGAACGTTTTGATCTTCCTGAAATGCAATGGACAACAGATTATTAGCAAAACATAAAATTGAATCATACCTTGGAAAACCTGAACATGATTTAAAGATTTCTGGACCGTATGTAAATCTTGTCATTTCCAACATACAACGATAGAGAGCCTGAAGGAAGGAATTTGTGTTATAATAGGTAAAAGATATGACTATATATTTGGGATATGTGTTATCCAATACAATCAAAACAACAAAAATCATACATATACCTGATAGGTCTGTGCATGGAACATTATATCATCCTTTAGCTGCTTGAGGGTTCTTTTGGGAGGAAGAAGACCACGAAGATAACCAATAGAGCAGCGAGAAGTACTATTGATGTAAGTCACTGGCATTCGATCACCTATGAACCTAAACAACAAAAAGAATGTACGTATTGTTTTTCTAGCATCCAACAGAGCAGGTCTGTCAATATATAAACATAGAATTCGAATATAATAATACCTATTTATGATTTTCTCATAATGATGATTGTAAGAACCAATGATCAGACGACTTCCAGGTGAAGATTGAAATACATATGCATCTCCAGTGGCATCTGTAATTGGCAACCTTGTAACAGCAGTAACTGTGGTAATGAGAGGAAGTCGAGCTTCAGATTCCCCTGCCAACTCCAAATACTTTGTAACTTCAGTTCCAGAGTAGTACACTGTCGCCCTGTCCCCTCTATACAAAATAGCAAAAGATCAGTTAATCCCACATGAAGTCTAACAAACAAAAATCAGCACAAGAATACGCAAGAAACCTGTTGTCTTCTATGATGAGCTCAAACCTAAGAACACCATTAATTGGAAATCCTGGAATCGTAAGATGAACAACGCAACCTGTAACATCTGCAATTCAATTCATAGTAAGCAAATAATCATGAATACTTTTTGTGCAAACAACTTTCGAGGAAGATACCTCCATAATTCACAACTGCCTCTGCCTCTGCCTCTATTGGAATAGCCGAGAACGAAGTTTTCAGAAAAGCATTGACAGGAAACTTGGGATAACCCGGATTGTCAGGCACACAAAATATTATATGTTCACGCCTTAAGGCAAAGCGAACTTCAGCGGGAACAACACGCATGTTTTTCCTCGCAGGAATAACATGAAAGCCATCCAGCACATGTAAATCTCCTACTTTCAACTTATGTTGCATTTCTTGAATGTCAATTTCCTCAATACAGGCCTCTAGCATATGTTCCTGTTAAATGTGATTTAGTGCATTACTACAATAAAATCAAACATAAACAATAAATATTACATTATAGAGACGAATGACAGACCTCTTTGTCAAGACACAGCACATGCATTGTTCTTTTATGTCCTTGAGAGTCATCACCATGCTCAATCCATACATTAAGAACTCGAATGATCATAATATCAGTATAAGCACCCACACATAGACCACGAAACACCATGCATGTGGAAATTGGGTCTGTGGCAAACGAAAGACAAAGAAAAACCCCAAAACTTCACACCTCGGCAGTGTTCATTCATAAACCAATAAATAGAAACTTGAAACAGAAAGCAACGGAGCCGATACCTCGTGGAAGAGTTGGAAGTTTGAAATCACGCGGCATTATACAACGATGCGTGATATGGAAAGACAATGGAAGATCACAAATTTGTTAAAGTGTCAAGAAACAGAAACAGAATGCAAAAGGGAAAACTACCGGCGAG